TGGGGTTCTTCTGAGTCCCACTCAGGCGAGGCCCCGCCCGGGTTCCCTGACACAGTTTGTCAGCACTCCCAAACTACGCCCACCCTTCAGATTGGCCCTCCTCATATAAACCTGTAAATGACTAACAGCCCCCAAAAGAGGCCTAGGTGTTTTCATTTTGAAAGAGGGTGTTGATTAACCCCCACCTGTGTGCTCAGCAAGTGCACTCTCAGGAAGTCCCTGAAAGGGATGTGAAGTGGCCCACCGCCCACCAGACACATCCCCCTGAGGGTGTCCTCCACCTTCTTCCTCTTTCTCCCTTCCTTTCCTTCACAGTGTACAAATGATTTCAAAATTCCAAGATTCATTCTTTCAAAATGGTTCTCCTGGCAGCGATGCCTCTGCCAGAATGTATGTGGGTGGCTGAGAGGGACAGGGGTGTTTGCAATTTAGAGCTTGTGTATGGATTACTTAGAACCTCAGAGACAGAAAGATTAGTTAGAACCTTTTTGTTGTTGTTTTTTGTTTTGTTTTGTTTTGAAGTAATCTCTGAGCCCAACGTGGGGCTTGAACTCATAACCTGGAGATCAAGCTTCACAGACAGGTGCCCCAAGAGACATTTTAGTTCTCACTTTGCAGGTGCCTAGTTTGTGTCCACCAAGAGGCTGATTTCATCTTCTTTGTGGTTACAGTGTTACGTGGAAACATTCTCTCAGCCCTTCCAGGATATCAAGTAAACAACCCCCCAGTGCCATCTAAAAGGTGGGTGTAAAATAACTTCTTGTAACAAAACAAATCATTTGATAAGGCAGGAGAAAGATTAGTGAGAGGCTTTGCTGAAATTCCAACTGCCTTTCCTCGATGCAGACCTCCATCTTTCATCAGATAAAGATTAGGTTGCCAAGGAAACAGGACCAGAGAGGGAGAGAGAGATGAGAGAGAGAGAAACTTTGTCTCCTTTGGTTCCCCAGGAGTCACAAAGCAAGCTGGGCTGTAAACGGAGCTGGACAAGATTATGGTAGATTTATAATTTACTTAGTCAAATTACTTTTAATTCATAGTCATGCCTCGACATACATTTTTTCCCTCTGCAAGTTAGGTCTTAAACTTAGTGGTCCAATGTCTGACAAATAACAGAGCTTTAAAATTCATTGTCTATGATTAAACTCAAATGCAGGACAGATGGCTTGTCTGAATACGTGTCAGACAGGCGAAGCACTTAAGATTTGTGACAGGCACGACCAGGAATTAACTGCTAAATTTTTGCATTTATTCATACATCCATGTGCACCATGAATATGGCTGTAAAAGTTACTTAAGTGTTCTCGCTTTATTCAAAATATTCCCAAACAAAGCAACTGCTCTCCTTGTAGCAAACCAGATGCCCTAATCTCAACCCCATTAACTCAAAATTCATCTTTCTCCTACTCTACGTATTGTGCACATTTCATTCTATTCCAACATTCAGGATAAAACCGCCTCCCTCTGAACACCCAGTTTACCCAGAACCCACAGTATTGGTCCCCACTTCATTTTTATGAGCCTTTTTATTGAAATATTGAATTATTTTACTGAACAAACACTTGTCTGTGGACGTAAACAAAGACCAGCCACATGAGAGCAGGCAAAGGCTATTTATTCAGAGCTCACTCTAGCAAGAGTCAGCCACTGTCAGTGCGTTTTGGCAGATACTCAAAGGGCACACTGAGGAGTGGGAAAGCTTTATAGGGGAGAAAAGGGAAGGCTTCAGAGATGCCCTGACTGGAGGCAGGTGGTGTGGGGAAGCTGTTGGTGGGCTAATTAAAAGTAGGGCATCCTGTGTGATGGTTAGGGGGGCATACTGGACGGTCTCTGACTGGTCCTCGGTTGGAAGCAAGGACAAATATTAGGGAAGGTTTCCATTATCAACCAAAATCCTGGCCATTTTGAGCCAATTATTACATGGGTCGTTGTTTGGGTGAATCAGTTGCTAGAGAGGGTGGTCTGACTCCCACAGGTCTGACTAGTCATTGCAGGCCAGCCACCATAGATTTTGGTCTCCTGGACTGGTTGCTGCAGATCATGGGTCAGAGTTCTCTTCCTGTTACTCTCTGGCTATTGTCCATCGTATATTCAGTCTTTCAGTAAAGAAAAGCTGTACGAGTAGAAGAGTACACATAGCATAAGCCTGTGCAGTTCAGTGAACTATCAAATGTAACGACCACTGGGGGAGGCGGGGGCATTTGTTTTTAAATTCTCCACAGTCTTATCTTCAGAACATATCGTCAAGGAACGTTTTGAGTCACGTGTAGAGTCCTTCCATGTGCTTCTTTAGTTCTCAGGTCTGAGGGCAGGACTCTCCAGCTGCAGAGTCCTTGGCTCTTCTAAAGTCAAGGCTTCTTGGACATGGTGGACGCAAAGAGCCCTGGGTTGGCCACAGCCAGCCTCAGCCCTGTGAGTCACTTCTCCTCCACATTCCTGGATGGAGAGGAGCAGGTTGGAGAGCATGCCTTAAAACCCAGGCTCCACCACTCCCTTGGGCAAGTTAGATAATCTCTCAAAACCTGTTTCTTCATCTACAAAACGAGGGTAATAGCAGTGCCTACCATCAAGGTTGATATGAAGACAGAATTACGTGATGGGCATCCAGACCTTGAACACAAGCCCTTACATGGAACAGACGCTCAGATTTAGCAGAGGTATTTCACCCAGTAATGTTGAAAAACCGATGGCTGAAAACCAGTGAGAACCTACTATGTGCCAGGCACAGAGCTTAGTGCTTTCTCTTAAATTTATGGTATTATTAAGTCTTCCTATTAGAGAATATGAATCTGTTTTTTATAAATGAAGGAGCTGAGGCTTGGAGATATTAAGAAAGCTCTGCATTGGGGCACCTGGTGACTCAATTGGTTGAGCCCCTGCTTTTGGCTCAGGTCAAGATCCCAGGGTCTTGGGATCGAGCCCCGCGTGGGGCTCCCTGATCAGTAGGAAGCCTGCTTCTCCCTCAGCCTCTGTCTGCTGCTCCCCCTGCTTGTGCAGGCTCTCTCTCTACTGTGTCTCTCTGTGTGTCAAAAAAAAAAAAAAAAAAAAGCTCTGCATTTACCAACTTTTGTTGTGAGGACTAAGAAATGGTTGTGAAGCATGTCCTTAGCATAGTCCCAGCACATCGTAATCAATTAACGGGGCTAGGTTTAGAGTTACCCTTTGACTATCCACCAGAACAGATGCTATGCAGTTTCCAATCCATCCACCCTGCCTTTCATCCTCACTAACAAAATCACATTTCTGTGTGGGGTGACAATGTGTCCCAACGAAAATAGCCCTCTCCTCAGTATCCCTTAGTTCCATGGAAGGTCACATGACCCGGTAGTGGCCAACCATAGGTAAGTGTAAATCTCCTAGGTGGGTCTTTCAGGGAAAACTATTACAGTCCCAAGAGAAGGGAAAAGCTTCATCTGACACATACTTATTCCCCTTTAAGTCTGTCCCCATTTCTGCTGTCCTGAAAGCCATGAAAGCAGACATGAGAACCAAAAACCATGTCCAGGATGGCAAAGCGGGTGCAGCCTTGGACCTCCATGGCCTCGTGGGGTAGCCGTGCTACCACGGACTGGCAGCTTCCCAGCAGTTTCATCACTGTGGTTAAACCCCTCTCGTTGCCAGATTCCCCTTACATGCAACCCAAGGCAATTCAAACCAATACCTCCACCGTTTAGGGCAAGTGGAATGTAGGAAGGAAATGAAATTTCCAAATTAACGAAAATTAAGGATTTGAAGTAACTTCTTTACCCCAATCTGTCTCCATGTCCCAAGTGAGATGATAAAAAGAACTCCAGGGATTGAAAGGCAGATTTCCAATCATCTCTCTAGGAAACATTTCCAACCCTTAAGATTAGCATCAGGGCTTTTTTGAACATCTGAATCCCATGTATCAACTCTTTCTTTTTTTTTTTTTTTTAAGATTTTTATTTATTTATTTGATAGACAGAGATCATTAGCAGGCAGAGAGGCAGGCAGAGAGAGAGAGGTTAAGCAGGCTCCCCATTGAGCAGAGAGCCTGATGCGGGGCTTGATCCCAGGACCCTGGATCATGACCTGAGCCGAAGGCAGAGGCTTTAGCCCACTGAACCACCCAGGCGCCCCTCGACTCTGACTTTCTAACTCTAACCTAGCTGCTAACTTTCCCTTCTTCCCGGTCCTATGGTGCTGTGTACGGTGTCATCAGTGGGGTTTCCATGGGGCATCAGCACTGTGCCTATAGGATCTGAAGACTCCCAAGTGCTTGGCACTCGACCAGACTCACCCAGCACAGAACTGGATGATCTTTCTATAAAACCTGAGGCATCTGCTCTGGCATTTTGGTGAAAGTCCAAAGGCCGTAATTGCATTCTGTCTGCTTGCAGGCTCTCCTAGAGTTCTAATTAGGTTGTATTTATTTTCTATCCAAAAAAAAAGACTACGCCTGACATTGCTCTACACATTAAAAGAGCAAGGGGCCCAACCCAAGCGATAAAGGAGCATCTTCTTGTGACAGGAAGTGATCATGTTTACCCTGGGCCAGCAGGGACAGTGGCTTTCACCTTGGAAGGAGCTATGTGTAGAGGGGTTAAACTTGAGGTTTTCTATGCCGTGACAGGGAAAATATATACATAGATCCCACGTATTTCAATGATTGCTAAGGCAGCTTCCCTCTCGCAGCTTCCCTCTCAAAATATAACCCACATGAGGACGCTAAAAACTAAATTCCTTCTGTATACTACCTGTGCTGTCTTACCATCACGTGGTATGTGATTTTTTATATTCTAAGCTATGAATAACTCAGAACTGAGGTGTTCCACACTGCTTCAGGAAACATCCTACACAGCCAAAAATTTTAATTATTCAACAGGCAAAACTGCTTTCCAGAATGTATGTAACTAGATGGGGAGATAAACACGTTCAGAAAATATCTGCAATGATCCTCATGTTCATTAAACTACAGAAGGCACCAGTTTTCGGCAGATTAAATTATGTCGTATTAAAATAAAGACTCACACACACAATGAAGAGAAAATCTCTAATAATTTATTTGACCTTCAGTTTCACATTGTGAAAAAAAAAATAACAGTTTTACAAAACCTCAAAAATGTAGTAGTAGCAAACAAGCACATATGAACATGAACACTTTACTTCAACTTACACAGAGTTTTGTACGTGAACCACATATTCAATAGCCAAGAGAGGGATATTATTCAGCTCTAATCACTCTTATTCAGACAGGTGTCAAGCCCAGAGAAAAGGGGGCTACACAATTATACCAGAAGTGGAAGGCTGCCCTTTGTTATCTGTTTCCACAGCAACCAGCCCACAGAATAAGAAGAACCTTCTCTGTCTTATGCCAAGGTTTTTGTGTGCACTGTGCTGTGAATTGTATTTGCTTCAAAGTGGGGGACGTTTCACAGGGTGAGAATGGTCAAGTAGTGAGCCCAAATGCCTACATCAATTCAAAGAGCGGGAGTCCAGAAAGTTCCCTGCAGGCTGGGGGCCCACCCTGACCACGGCTCCCTCTGGCTCGCACACAATAATTAATAGAGGATTCAAGGACAGACCACAACTTTGAAACAGCTGCAGAAAATTCACCCTGCTTTCAGAAGTCACGCAGTGACACACACACATCTCGGCAGATTTGCATTATAAACTAGAGAGCCGTAGCTTTGCTACAATATAACGCCATTGCGATGCCGCTGGGGTACAATCAGACATTTGCATTGCTTAGAACACATCTAGGAGCGAGGGACTGACTGCTGCAAAAGTATTGTGATGCTTTTATTCCAACGGCTCATTTATTTTGGTCCAGCTATAGCCCACTTACTCATGGCACGAATGGATATGTACAATTAGTTTAAAGTATTCAGGTAAAGAGAAATGTTAAGGATTTATCTGTCACTAGACAATGCAAACACACTCACAATGTAAAAGGTTGTTACCGGTCTTAAGCCCTATTTTCTAAACTACAGTAATGTGAGAAACATCGATGAAAGCGGTGTTTGAGTTGCAAACTCTGGTCTTCCCCAGACACCTCTGAGCAAACACCTAGCTGAGTCTAGCACTAATACCTATCACGACACACGGTTAGGAAACAAGCGCTCAAACTAGCAAAGAATGTATTCACAACAGATTCCCAATGATCCCGGAACACCTCTCAACAGGGGCCACTGCTCATCATTCGTTGGTGTTTCCTGGCCAAACAGGTCACTTTGGCGCACCAAAGAGTTCTTTCTTAGAGACTTACCCGAGGGGGAGCACTGAAGTATACACTGTCCCAACGTGAATATGGTCTTGGAGAACTCCTAATACTTGCTAAATCGTGCATTAAGAAGAGAGAACAATGAATCCACCGGGTTCAAGCAAATCTGGTGAGTGAATTCATGGACGTCTATGACAACTCAGCTCTTTCTTGTTAGCTGCGGGTATGGCGAAGCATTCTCATAGGGTAATAAATAAATAAATAAACTTTGGACACTGCCTCTAACCTGTGCCCTATATACAGAACTATTCCATAGAATTTTCCAGGATTTCAGGATATTACACAAAGAAAAGAACTGCAAAGCGACTTGGTCCTTTCCAAATTTCAGTAGCTGAGATTGAAGCTTGTGACTCAGACAGGAACAGGGCAGTGAAGCTTTCCCTCACCCCATGAGCCATCAGTATACCAGACCCCATGAAACCCCATTACAAGTTAGTGAGTCTAAGAAAAGTGACCTCCATGTTTTCTCTACCTCTAGGATGTAATCTGTTTCTGTCTTGTACTCCTTCCCTGCCTTGACATTTACAAAATCCCCCCTTCCCAACCCACCCTCCAGTTATGCTCCAAATTGTAACACCCAAGTTTTCATTTTTGTGCAGCAAAGCACTTCACAACAGCCACAAAATTGTGCAAAACATACAACCATTCACACACCCATACACATGAAGACAATCGTAAGCATCGTTTCAGCATGCAGGCATCAAACAATAAATAGCTAAATCTACGACAAATTTCTTTACAGCCAAGGGAAAGTTTAAAGTCACTTATAAATAGAAAAGAACATCTACCAAACGCCTACCAACAACATCCCCATTGTTCAGAACCTTCCTGGGGAGCTCAACCCCTCAGAGATTAGCGGAGAGTCCAGCAGTCCTCACTCTGTGGCCAGCCAAGCCAGATTCCCTCCTGGCCCCACAGCTGGGCTTTCAATCTCCAACAGCAGCTGGTGTGGAGGCTTCTGGCTTGCTCCTCAGAGAGGTGACAACCATTTCAAATTTTACACATAAATGGTGGAGCCCATGGAAATCAAATGCTGAATATGGTACTACAAGGAAAAAGGGCCGGCTTTTCTCTCCCTTTGAGGGGTTGATTAACGCTGACATTAATCCACAATTACAAGACAAGGACTAGATCACAGGTTTGTTCATTCATATTTAAACCATGTGCTACTTGCACTGAAAATCCCGCCCCCTCCCCCACCCCCTCCTTCATGTCCAGTTAGAGAATTTACAAGGTGCAATGCATTGTATCAGGAGTCTTGTGGCAACTTCTTTTCCTTCTTCTTTTTTCTCTCTTCATTAAATTCGACCTCTCCAGAGTAGAAAGCTCATTTTGTCTCACCAAGTGATGGAGCGAGCTAAAACAGAGAGGGAAAAAAAAGACTCATTAATAGCCTTGAAATCTTAAAAAAATAAAATTAAAATCAGGACAGAGCTAGCCAATAATGCTTCTAAAAGTCTTAATTTCGTGTTCAGTAGCAAGTGTGCAAAAATTAAGGGCATCCATGTGCATGCACAGATAGAGATGATTGGCTCCATAGAAATGATGGTGTCCAAAGAAAAAATTTTCATTTCCCTACTAAACCTTCAACCTCTCTCTCTCTCTCTCTCTCTATATATATATATACATATGCAAATGCAAACTTATACGTCTAGGTGCTGCTAGGAGTTGTCACCTTCTGCTGCCAACATCTATCCTTCATCATGGTTAAACAGAGCCACTGGGAAGTGATCACCGGAGGGTCAAAACAAGATTCCTGTGCAAAACCTCTTTGGCCCATTTACCATAAAGGACTCCAAAGTCAGTTTATTCACCATATAGAAGGCAGACATATTAATCCTCTTATGGAAATGCATCTCTGCTATTCATTATGGCAGAAATCAGTCTTGCTTCCTTTCACACGACAACATCGCAGGCCTCCACGGCCCAAGGCTGGAGAGTTTATTCTCCAAGTTCATCAGTCTGTACTTGGGAGATGCCAGCTATGGTACACAGTTATTATCTGCAGAATCCGCCGACATCAAGCATGAATAGAAATTCAAGGTGCCCTAACCACAAAGCCTGCACATTTCACGGGAGTGCGTGTTTCCCCACGCCACCCACCCTTCCCTTCTCGTGGGTCTATCTTTGATACAAGGAAATTCTGCAGAGAGCCTGTCTCCCCAGCATTCACCCTATCTGTTCCTAGAGCACATTTCCAGCCCTAGTGTAGGAATCTCATCCCTGCTGCTAACTCTAAGTGGAGACAAAGGGAATTCAGGAGGGGCCGCTTGTTACTTGCATTGAATTCTTCTTGCTTTTGTGTGTCCAGAAGTCTGATTCATTTCATTAGTTGTTTCTTTTGGCAGTTTCCGAACCGTGATTTAAGCTTGCAAGGCATTCCTTAGACTACAGTGTCACTCTCCCACCCCCACCTCCCGGGAACCTATGTATCAACATTAGGCCAAAAGAATGCATTTTGTAACTGTAATAATATGAAATTTCGTGATGGTACATACACAAACAGGAGAAAGAAAGAAAGAAAGGAAAGAAAGGAAAGAAAGGAAAGAAAGGAAGAAAGGAAGAAAGGAAGAAAGAAAGAAAGAAAGAGAGAGAAAGAAAGAAAGGCTCTAAAAAGGGGAAGAAACATAGGCACATCCGAGATCCAAGTGCTGTCAGGTTGGGGCCACACAGCGCCATGAAAATGGGAGAGTAATCAAAAGTAATTTCCTTTCTGTCCTTCCCACCCACTGACAGAACAGCAGGAGACAGTTAAAATCCCCCTGGTGAATGAGCTTTTAGACCTTAAGGAAACTTCTTGTTAACACCATATTAATTCGGTTAGCACCTACATTTCGAGATCAAAGAGACGTCCCAGAAGGTTCCGCAGCTTAGGGCCAATACCTGCACAGCTCCTACTTTAAAGTCACTCTATCCCGCTGAAGTGTTTTAACCCGCTGAAGTGTTTTAACACTCTCTTGTGTGTAGAAAACTCTGGAAACTTAAACCAACACGCTCCCTATCAGAAACCGCAAGACAGTCTTTGATCAGAACCACCCCACCCTTTGTGAAGGTGAACCGGCCGGTCGAATTCCCATTGCTCTGTGTTCCACTGGCTGGCAGCACCCAGGGCGGGGAGGTGGTGTTTCCCATGTGACCTAACACTTTATTTGCTCGGTTCCCAGGGACCGGAAGTGTGCGATTAGGTTCAAACACCCAGGACAGGGTGAATTCAAGTGTTTGCCAACATCCTCTGGGCTGCCAAAGGAGGCACCGACAATGAAGAACGAAGATAACAAGCAGATGATAATCAAAGAAGCCTCACTTTCCTGCCACACACAGAGCTAATTCCATGGCTGGCTGGGGTCTCCAATGAAGAAGGAAAGAAACCTCAGAGCAAGGTACTTTTCTCCCCCTTTCTCCCCTCATCTATCAATTCACCCAAGTCTGAACCGGGACTGAGCTCGGAGAAGCCAGATTTAACTCAGTCATTGGACAAAGGACAGATCTGAAGTCCAGGACGGTCCAGAGTCCACAGTTTCGAACCAGAATGCACACGTGGTCTCTTCCTGCCTCTGCTTCCTTACCTTGCTCCAAAGGGGCCAGCCCATCTGCCAGTGATGACCATTCTGAGGTACCACCACCATCCCTGGCAGTTTTTTAGGCTCTCCTATGCAAATACAGTCAGTTCTGGGCTAACACCGAATTCAGTGTGCTCTTAATTGATGCTTTTGCCCAGAAGGTTCTTTAAACCTGCTTTAGAGGTGAGTCACGCACTCATATCGCAGATGAAATAACCACGTTCAGAGCATTTGTTTACTCAGGATTACTGAGATGCCAGCAAGGCTGCAAAAACCAGTTTGGTGTGGGACGCTGTCAGCCCGGTCGCTCCCCACAGGAGGTTTCTACTGTTCCAGCTCCTTTGAGGGAGTTTCATTCCAAGGTTACATTCTATTACCGAGAACTGTACTAACTGTTAGAGGCTAGAGGAAACAACTGAACCAATGAAAAAACCAGAAAGATGAATCATAACAGTGAGGCCAACTTTAGTGGTGTTTGAAAAGGAGCTGTAAGAAAGGTAGAAAGAAAAGACAAATGTGTCAAAACCCCTCTTTGCTTAGCTCACAAAGACCCCTAGATTTCCCTTTTTCCCCTCTGAAAATCCTCTTCGAGAATGTGAAATGTACTAGGGAAAACAGAGTCAAAGTCTCTAGGTAATGAGCAAGTTTTCGTGGTACTTCCTCCAAAGCCCGAGTTTTCATTTTATTCTCTTATTATTAGTAATAAGCCCATGCATTACCAACCAAAATAAACCAACACATTCCACGTGCCCCGTGCTACACTCAGAAACGCTTAAGTGGTTCCTGGGGCCAATACTAAAGATGCTTAAGGGCAGCAAAGCGCCATTAGCTTCGTGAACACTGAACTGTGTGGGCCTATTAATTATTTGAGCCAAGAGTATTATATACTCGTAAGTACACAAGGCGACCATTATGGACTCAGATATATGACACAGAAAGACAACTTTTGTTAGCCCTGACAATAGGGTCAGCCTGTCTGATTAACTCTGAAAGGCCGCAGTGGAAGGCCATCTAGAGGTCTCAGCATGCCACGCATCTGACAAATTTATACAACGCAGGTGCAACTTTTACAAGGATAGACCTTGATTTCCCTCTGAGGTTGGTTAGTCAATGCCCGAAAAGGGGCCTTTTTTCCCCCCCAAGGAAAAAAATTTTTAAATATGCAATAAAGAATCTGGGAGGGAACAAACCAGGGATAAACTTAAGCTTTCAGTTTTTTACACCCTACTTCATTCCAGAAAGGGTTGGAGGGATCTAAATTTGATGATCAATAAATTATCTCCTGGGCTGAGACGGATATGAGGCTCTCTGGTTTCTTAAGGAGCAGTTCAACCCGAAGCTCCAGTGCCTAGGTTGATTTCTTGACCAACTCTTCCACCTCCAAAGCCCCATGACTTGGGCAACTGACTTAACCTCTGTGTGCATCAGTTGTTTTCATCTATAAAATGCTCTAGTAAGGATAGCTCATGAGATTGTTGTCAGGATCGCATGAAATGATCCGTGTGAGACATGTGGCCCGGCTCCAGGCAGGCAGGGAGGGCTCCGTCAACATTAGCTGGCATTATTAACCCCAGGTAGGGGTTCTCCACCCGGCTGTCCTATCTGAATCACTAGAAAGCTTCCTAAAAGCTGATATGCCTGGGACCCACCTGGACCAAATGAAATCAAATCTCTGGGATGGGCCAAATTTGAAAAGCTCTTGGGGGGAGCAGGAGGATCAGTCAAGGCTGAGAACCGCTGGCTTTTCTGAGGGGTGGGGGATTACAGCTGTGGGCAACACAAGTGTGCTCAGTTCTGGGGTGCAAATTCTTTTAAAGATTCTGTGGACCTACTTCTATGGGCTGAGTTACAATGATCACATCCCGGTCTCCACAGGTAGCTTAATGACACGCCTACTTCCAGCCACACTGACTTCTTACCTCACGCTCCCCTTCTCGAAGAGGTACTGCCGTCTAAGAAGGCAGATGCTTCCAGGTGCTGACAAATGCGGTAGGAATCAGCGAGTATGGGACTGTGGTGATGCTGTTCCACACGTCTAATGTCGGGTCGTAACAGTCCAAAGTTTTGCAGCGCTGAATGCCGAAGTACCCGCCCACCACATAGAGCTTGTTTCCGGACGCCACAGCGTGACAGCTCATGCGCTTGGCTGTCACATCTCCCACCTTGGTCCACTGGTAAGTCTCACTGTTGAATTTGTAAGCAGAGCAGGCGGAGAACTCCGTGTCTCCCCCCATAATAAAAATCTGGTTCCCCAGCACCGCTGCTGCTGTGTAACGCCAGGGCTGGGGACAGGTGGCTGGGACTGTCCACCTGTTCTCGCACTGATCGTAACACTGAACTTTAGGGAGCTTGTCATGACTGACGCTGGTACCTCCAAAAGCAAACAGCTTGAGCTTGGCGCTCACCACGGCCGCATTGCTAACGCCTTCTCTGAGGGGGGCCACCATGGTCCATTTGTTGGTCGTGGGGTCATAGTGTTCTACTTGCTTTAGGGAGACTGAGGGGGAGGCTGGGAGACAGCCCGTTGCAGCTGTGTGCCCCCCAACCACATACAGGCAGTGCTTTAGTTCAGCAGAGCCATGGCCGAACCTGGCCACCAGCATGGGGGCAGCTTTGGACCACTCTTCATGCAGGGTATCATAAACCCAGACATCTTTTGAGACTCCGTTTTCAGACCCCCGCCCCCCAGTAATGTACACTTTGCAGCCAATTGCACATGCACTGAACTCTTTTCTTGGGCTGGGGATGTCAGCCTTGGGAATGATCTCTTTGGCCTTCTGGTCTACCAGATACAGCTTGTCGCACATGAAGGTCTGGCCACCCAAGAGGAAGAGAGCATGGCCAGTCTTCCGAGGCCGGGCACAAAGGCTGGTTACCACGCCATCATTCTGCAGGATTTTTAGTTTGCACCTGATGGCCTCTTCCACGATCTCCTTGCTCTTTCTCTGCTTGGTAATGAGTTCCTCCATGGCCACGTTCTCCATGAGATAAATGGCTGGCAGGAGAGCCAGCCTCACTGTCTGCAACAGCTCTGGGAGGTAGCAATAGCGCTTCTTCAGGTCGTAGCTGATCCAGTTAATTGCAGACTCGTACACAAGCCTTTCATCTTCTGTCTCCAGCTCTTCACTGGACAAGAGTTGCACTACCATGTCCTGGGGCAGCTGGAGGAAATCTTCGTTCTTCCTGATGGTCTGGAAATTGCTGAGACACATTCTCCAGGACAGCTCGTACAGCTTCGTGCACTGGTGCGCATCGGAGAGCAGCAGCATGCCCAGGCAGTTGGTGGGATGCAGATTCTTTTCCAGGAACTCAGCGCATGCATCCCGGATGTCCTGAAACTCCAGCATGTCACCAGCTTCCAGAAGCGATTCTGCGTTTTCTTCATTGATGATGACCCGGGAGGAGTACGCATAGTCGAGCAGCAGCTCCAGAACTTCGGGGTGGATGGAGTTGTCGAAGTTGACCTCACTGTCCTGGCTCTCTTTCAGGCCACCGCTGAACATGGCTTCAAAGTAGCGGCTACATGCAGCCAACACTGCCCGGTGACAGGGGAAGGTCCTGTTCCCAGCATGGAGAAGGACATCCGTGAAGAGGCGCTGCTGGCGTAAAAGGTTCAAGTGCGTGAGGACACTGTCGGCGTAGGAAGACTTGTGAAACAGGTAGATGTTAATGGAGCCACTGCTGGCCCTGGACTTGCGGTTCTCATGCACACTGACTGACATTTTGTTTCCACTCCTGAAACAAAAACAAAACAAAACAAACCATTGAACGTGATGCTCCTGATGTTCAGAACGGCAGAACAAAGCCAAACAAATGTGAACAGAGAAAACAGAACACTTTGCCGCCTACCGCTCGCTTGGAAGCTCGCTTGGAATAATGGATAGCCGTGCTCGCTCGGAATAATGGATAGCCGTGCCTGTACAAAGTCAGAGACAAGCACCTATAAGGAAAGGTATTCACTGTAACACTGCTGAGCTATTTGAACACGGTTTAAAAAAAAAGAAAAGAAAAGAAATCGCTGCTTGCAAGCAGTTTCATCTTGGAAAACCTGACTGCCAACTTCCAGGATATTGAAGTCCTTGAGAATGTAAACCAGCAAAGCCCAAGATGAGGGAGGTCTCACTCTCACAGCTCCCTGCCCTTGTCCAGCTGATTCACTGTGGGCCACTTAAAATGCCGGGCTTCCAGATCTCGTAACGCCAGGCCGGGCACCAGCTTTTATGTCCCATGCAACATAAAGCCATGTGTAAAACAAATACCTACTAATTAATTCCATTAAGAATTCCTTTAGTAAGATCCACTCTCCCTGTGTATCACAGTAAATGGGCAATGGAACCTTAAAATCATAGGCTTAGGCCATCTTCTTCCATAATCAGGTCTTTACTGAAATATCACAAATGACTTCTAACCAGGCAATTCTACCACGCCAGAGTCCTCAAAGGGCACTAGTATGAACATTACCATATATTGATCAGCAGGCTTTTGTGGAAACACAGAACAGATTCTGGCCATAGTCACCACCTATCTTTCTTGCTCTGGACAGCTTCCAAAACGAGGATTTGCACACATAAAAGGAAGACTATTTTGAGTAGCATACTCATCACTGCTGTTTTTCTGTTCTTCCTGCTTTATATCAATTCTTGGAAAACTGGTTGCAAGAACAAAGGATCTATCCATCCCTCTTTCGCTTCAACAGTGCAGGACCAGGACGGTTCTTGTGTACCTGCAAACACTGGCAAGTGCATAGAAGGAGTTCAAAATGCAAACCCTGCTTTATGTAAATCAAAAGCACTCAAACCTATGTGCATATGTGCGTGTGTGTGTGTGTGTGTGTGTGTGTGTGTGTTGCCAGTCACTGTAAATTTAGGGCCACCCTGGAATTTATTTGCTGACTAAAGTACTTTTGAAATTATAGCAAAATCTAATGCTGTCTTGGGCTTTCTTCAGTAAGTAAACCACAGGTTAAAAACATAGGACATACCTATCACCTATCTTCAAAAACTGGATCACATGCTTTTCTTTTTTCTTTGTTAACCCTATCCTTCTGTTACTTCAAAAGACTAAAGCCTCTAAGAACCTGCCTGTCAAAGGATTCCTAAGGAAGCTGTTTAGGCCAGGAGGGTAAACAACTGTGTAAGTTACAGTATCTGTTTCAAAACACAGAACAGCTAGTTTTTACAGGCAGCTGAAACCTACAACTGCCTCATTTCCTTCTACCCTTCAGACATGTATTTTTTTAGTGTATAGTGCAATAATTGCTAATAAGACTGAAAGGAGCGATTTTCCATGGATTCCGGGGCTAGCTACCAAGCAGCCCTTCCTGACCAGATGTGGCACAGCACAGTTTACAACAAAGGCAGGTGCCAACTGGGCCCCGGACACATGGGCCACAGAGCATTAGGTGATGCAACTTGTTTTTTTTCTTTTGGAATGTAACTTTTCACTAGCGTAAACAGGGCTTATTGGAAGACAGTAAGTAACAATGTTCTAGGGCTCTGGTGTTAGGAAGACAGCTTTAGTGTCCATAGCAACTTGAAGACAGGACAAACAGTAAGGTGCCCCCCCATCACCCTTACCTCAAGCAAAGCCACACAGTCTAACTATGAACCATGCCCAGTGCTGCGGAGAACCACCAACTCCACCTATGTGAATGCACCAGGTCTCCAAAGGCTTAGAACATAGATCAGCATCCCTGATGCTGAAGTACTTTGAGGAAGGTTTTAAGCTTAAACCTCAAAAGATGCTGTGAACACTGTGATACCGTATATAGAAACTTGCCAACATTCCAAATGAGTATTTCTGCTTTCTTTTTTTTTTTTAAGCTAATGCTTCCAAAGCACCCTTAAAGGCTGCCTTCTCTCAAGCGAAGAGTGAACACACCTCTAGCTGAAGAATGAGGCTCCCTGCACCACGTACAGGACACCACAGCGCCTCCACACTGAGTGGGAATCACACTGGGGCCCAGAACATGTTTCCCTGAGCCTTAGATGCCAGACAGGGTAAAACAACATTCACAACGAGGCTTACATGTAAGGAAATAGTTTGTTTTGAAGACCTGAGGATATAGGACCTGCATCCCTATGCCTCCTGTGTTTATGCTTCTGCATTTTTCCAGGCTGGCCCACAAAACCAGAAGGAAGAGGCTAGCCTGTCATCTTAGATACCACCCAGATGGAGAAGCGTGTCGCAGGCAAAATCCAACATTCCTACAGCAGTACTTGCTTAAAATAAAAGGTAAACTTAAAGACCCAAGGGAAACGACTTGCTTTCTTGTTTAAAACTATGCAAACATCAAAATATCAGCAGAAGCCATTTATACAGTCACTAAACACACCTTCTAAAATGAATCACTCTTCTGGCATTTTTTAAGCCCCCACAGAAATATCTGTATGCCAAGTAAGTAGCCAAAAAAAGAAAAGAAAAAAAGAAAAAAGAAGCACACGTATACTTAACCTGTGTGTATGAAGAAGACGGAGAAAGGGCTGCTATTACCGTGAACATCAAACGGGCTTCTCGCTACAGTAACTTCAGTTCACTTAATGCCCCTTACTCAAGCCCTGCTGCCAATACTTTGCGTCCCGTCACATCTTACGTTTTCAACCTGGTCTCAACGCACTCAACGGAGAAACGAGGCAGACCTTCTGGGGCACTTACCTTACTGATAACAATGGAAGGACATTAGAAAGGCACGGTTAACAAGAAAACCAACTGACCATACAGCCCTCTGTAACACTCGCAACGCTCTTCAACACGCTGGCCATACGTGTGCGGGCAACACGAAATTACATGCCCAACAAGTTTCAAGGTTCGTCTCCACCGCGCCCACCCATTCCTGTCCTTTGAAACTCATAGTGTCACACTAAAGGCCAAATACTTGCAAGAGAAGAAACTGATTTTTCATAGTTTTCATTCATTCCCCACAGACATTCCGCCGCCGTGAGAGTGCCCTCACGAAGCGTGTGTGCTCGGGGCTCCGGCGCGCCCCTGTGCCGGGTGGGGTGCAACGTGGGCCGACAATCCCGGGCGCCCGGCCTTGGGGGCTGCGAAGTGCGAGGCAGAACGACAGCCACCCCCAGTGAAGCGCCGCTTTGGGCGGAGGACGGAGACTCATCCCTCCCCGGCTCGGCTCCCTGATTCCCAGAAGCTCGCCCCGGAGCCGGCGAGCCGGACGAGAGGAGATCCCTCCGGCGACTGCCAGCGTCTGCACCGTGCGGGAGGGCAGCGGCGGCCACCGAGGTCTCCGCCCGGAGACCAGTTCCCCGACCTCCGCCCAAGTCGGAGTTCCGGACTCCGGGGCGAACACACCCCCGCAGGCCGCGCTGCCGGGGTAAGCCGCGGCGGCCGCAACAGGTCCGGGGCAGCGGGGGAAACTTACGGCGGCGTCGACCGGCGTCAGGCACGACCAGCTGCGTTCTCGCCTAGGTCACCGCGCGGGAGGCGATAAGGCGGACGTCTCAGCCCCGGAGAGCGGCGGCGACTGCCCGGGCGAAAGGAGCGCGCATGGGGCGCCCGCCGGCGAGTGGACAGCGCCTCGCGACCCCCACGCCGCGGACTCCGCTCGCGACCCGCGGAGCGTCTCCCGGAACGCGTCTCGGGTAAGGAGAGCGAGCCTTTGGCCGCCGGCGCCGCGCAAGGAGGCGGGCTGGGCACTCCCGGGAGGGAGCTAGAAAGCGCTCGTGCGCGCCGGCGGCCGCCTGGCGTCAGGACTTGGTCTCCGCAGCGCCACCGCCGCGCCGCCTCCTCTCTGGCTGCCCAAGCAGTCTGCGCCCAGCGGCCGCGGGCCGGGCTATAAGCGGCGCGGCGCGGCGGGAGGGGTGGGGGGAGGAGACGGTGCGGATGCAGAGTGACACCCGGGGAAGGAGGGAGGAAGCGCATGAATGCCGCCCGCCGAGGAGGAGGAGAAGGAGGAGGAGGAGGAGGCGGCGACGGGGAAGAGCTGGAGAAGAGCTTGTCGGGGGAGTTAATCGAGAGAGGAAGCGGGGGAGGGGGGCTGCGGAGAGTGGAGAGAGACAAAGCGGACACGGTGCTTAAGCCACTAGCAGCTGCAGTCCTCAGGGATGGCGAGTAGAGCAAGTTTGACCAGGTCCGAGTGCCTGCGCCTCTCCGGCTCAGCACGGTTAAAGGACAGTCCCGGAGCTCAGAGACCCTTGGCAGTGGAGGTCCCCGGCTGCGCGCTCCGCGATGCCGGAGTCCGCGAGATGCTCAGGATAGGGGAGCGAGGGGCGAGCTGGGGGTCCGCCGCACGCGCCCTGGGCGCAACACCTGGCGCGAGGAGAGGGGCAAGGGCAGGGGCACAAATTTGGTCACTGCGGGGACACTGCGGGTTGGGCAGAGCCGGGCCCTCCGGCTTCTCGCCGGCGGAGGCAGACAGACTCGAGCCCCTGGCGTTTCCCTTGCGTCCTGCCTCCCCGCCCCAGCGGGTGCGGCACCCGCGGCCGGACTCTGCCCCACCGCGCGGGGAGCAGCAGCTGCGCGGCGTTGTCCCGCCGGGCGCACACCACGTGCTTCGCAGCCAATCGCGGCCCGCGCTTGATTCAAAGCGAGCTCCTCAAAGGAGCGGCCCCGCAGCCCCCTCTCCCTGGCGACAGAGCTCAGTCGTCCTCTGGACTGGGCCCTTCCTGTCTTTCTGTCTTTATCGGTCTGTCGTGTGAGTTTGGAGTTCGGCAAAGAAATGGCCCAGCACATGGGTCTGAAGCGCCGCGTGCCAGGGGAAAGGAGGGCGATCACTCTTGACCAAAGCCATTTTTGATCTTTGCACTGAAAGCTGTATCTCCCCTGGGACCTAAAACGTCTGTTTGGTTTTTATTAGATATTTGGAATAAAATCTATGAAGGAACGGTAGAGATCACCCCCCCCCCCAGCGATCTCCTTTTGCAGGTTAGGAAACTGAGGCCCAGGGAGATGTGAATTGTCACAGGGCCCCTTAGCAGAGGCTCTGTTCTGCAAGCAACTCAAGTAGGGATCTACCAAAGAGTTTTCCCCCTGCCCCAACTCTCCCACCTCCTAGCTTTCCTCTAAACACTAGATGGATAAATGCTTCAAACAGGCTGATGAGCCTCCACCTAGCGCTCCCCGTGTCCAGACACTGCCAAGACTCTTCTTTATTCTAAGCTCACTTCCCCCCCACTCCCCGCCCCCGCCTTCCCTCCTGGTTGCATTTCGCTCCTTGAAAGCAAAGAAAGACAGTGCCCTCTGAAGTCCTTTGTTAGCATTAATTCGTCTGCCTCACCGCGAGCCTTTACAAATCTGTTTCGTATTTTAATTTTTGATGCAAACTCTTAGCCCCAGATTGCTTAACAAGCCAGAGACAGTTGGATCGGTTCACGGTGAGAATCTGGGGATTGGCCAGGTGAAGAGAGGAGCTGGGCAAGTCCACCCCCTTCCTGAAGGAGGTGTGGATAAAACGAGCCAAGAAGAGGAAAGGTAGAGCAAGGGCTGTAGACTCCAGAGATGGGTGCTGAAAAGAAGGGAGGTGGGAATGTGGAGCTAGGGCACATCTGTCTTTTTAAAAAAGCCTGTTTCTGTAGCTTGTGGCAAGGTGGGGAGGAAGCCCATCAGGGCAGGGCCTCCTAGAAGGGCTTTGTTGGTGTTGTGGGCTCAAACTAACCCCGGTGCTTTGGAAGACTAGATGCCAGTGTCTTCCTGTTTAAACGAAGAGATCAGCACGTTTTCTCACTAAGGAGAAGTAGTTCTCTCTTACTTCGTCACCTAGCAAATCTACATGACACCGTAGGTAGATGATTTTGAGAAATAAAACATGCACAGCTCAGTTGGTTGGCTCGGGACTTTGTCATAGGAAGCCGCTGAGTTAGGAACAGGCAATCTGGTTCTGTTGCGTCTTCACCACCTGCAGCGTCCTTAACCCTGGCGACAGTAACGTTTGTTTCTCCTTGCTGGGGACTCTGCTAAGGGACAGGGGGGTCCTCTGGACATTGGCTTTTGCCATTCTCCTCTTCTGTTCTACCTAATGTTGCCGTCTTTCTGCGCTTCAAGAAAGAGGACCAAAAAAAAGCTGTAGCTTTGGGAAATCTTGAATTGCATTCAGTGACCGCAGACATTGGCTTCATCTGCCTCAGGGAGATAAGCAACATGAGGCAGGGGGAAAAATGAGCTTCCGGAGGGTATAAAAGTGGAAAACATTTTCCTGCTCAGAGATAGAGGAACTAAACTTGCATTTTGGGGAAAATGTGTGTGCTTGCAGTGACCTCCTACAAACCACACTGGTCCGCTTGAACCACAGGCCTGTGTGCGGTTTCTAATGTTTATTTCACAGCTGAAAGTGATTTGCAAGTTAGCCTATTTCTGATCCCAGTAACTCAAACTGTTATTACCCCAGCATCTCTCAGGCAAGCCTAAAGGTAATTCTTATCACTCTCCTCACAGGATGAGAAGGTGAGCAAGTCATGGATGTGTACAGGGAGGCCGCTCTAGACAGACCTGTGACCCAGCTGGACAAGCATCCGTATAGTTGGTGTCTCAGTCATAAACAAGTCAGGAAATGCTACGGGTCTGTGTGGTACAGTGACCACCACCCGACTCAAGATGTTAACCCATTCCCATAGGCCCCCGGGAGCTGGTCTTTGCCTCTGCCTTGTGACACCAAACCAAGGTTTCATTTTTAATGCTATTAAGAAGCTGTGCCCAAGGCTTTGGCCTTGTTATCTCCCTTAACAACGTTATTTTGTTAGGCTGCAAAATAAGCAGCATGGGGTTAAATGTATTAGCTGCCTTCAAACCTAATTTATCTTCATTCCTTCCTAATTTACACTCGGGCTGAATTAATGAGAATGATTTAATTAACACAGTGCGACCATGGTACCAGGGACAGGACAGCTCAGGGGATTAGACCAACAGTGGGCTAAGCAGCTGCCATCCTGCCTCCTGTGGTTCCCCCAAAGCCCTCCCCTGAATTTCAGACGTGTTCCCTGCCAGTCTTCCAAGTGTCTTCTTTGTTCTTTGATCCACTTCCTGAATCAGTGTGAGGAAAATGGCACTGCTTTGCTTCCTCACCTTATTTCTAAGAGGGGCCTCAAGGCTGTGGTCTGTAAAATCAGTGTGGCCAAGGGGCCCAATGCCCACCAAAGATGTATGCTCTTCCTCCCCCAGGGTCAAGTTTGTTCTGGGAAATGGACAGACACTGAGCCTGGGACTGCACTTGTCTTGAGATCAACACCTGTGCCAGGAAAGGGAGGGAAGCAGGATGGGCAAAGGGATTTTAGCCGGGTTGTGTTCTCAGCTGAGGACTTAGATGGCCCCATGGGAATCCTGGGAGTAGAAATGACCCTGCAGAGTTGTCCCTAGTCCAAGCAAGAAGGCCAGGTTTTATATGGCTGCATCAACTAGTTGCAACACCACCCAGGAAAGGGACCAGGCCTCGGTCAAGGCAGCACTCTTCCCCAGAGTTCTCAGTTCTGAGGAGGGCAGGTGGCAGAGCGCCTTCTGCAGCCAGCACCCCATCAGCCGGGAGAAGTCCTTCAGTCTTGAGGGAGGAGTCAGGGGACTCAGCGGAGTGTCCACGTCCACACTTCCTCTTAACAGAGCCACAAACCTAGAGAAATGAGACCTCAGCTCCTACCAGCAAGCCACTTACTTTCAAAAAGAGGGGACTTTAAAAAGTCTGGCTCCTTATTAAAAAGACAAGGAAAAATAAAGAGTAAGGTAGTCTGTATGAGAAGCTAACAGTTGTTTTTCTCTGGGAACAAACAAGAAGTCTGAACTGATAGTTTCCTAAATTTTGATTTGCTGCCTCTGCATTTATGTCTTTTCAACTGTATTTGTGTTAAACATTTGTTATGATAAACCTTGAGAATATTAATAAAATTGTATCCAAATTGACAGGGTCATATTTTAAAATTTCAGTTGCTTCCTACATCTGGCATATGTGTGTTACACGTATTTTGTGAATTATGTTGGACTATAATATTACTTTTTAATTTCAAATTCCAATTGTTCATGGCTGATCTATACAGATAGTGGACTTTTGTGTTATGCCTTTTTTATTTTTTAAAGATCTAATTATTTATTAGAGAGAGAGAGCGAGCAAATAAGCATGGGTGCACGTATGCAAGCACCTGCACATTGGGGGAGGGGCAGAGGGAGATTTGCTCTAGCAGCAGCCTCCAGGAGCCAGGCTCCATCCCACCATCCTGAGATCGTGACCTGAGCCGAAACCAAGAATCAGTCACTCAACCGACTGAGCCACCCAGATGCCCCTGTATTATGACTTTTATAGAAAGTCATGTGTGAACCTGAATTTGTGTCCATTCAAAGCTTTGCAGGGCATCCTGTTGAACTCCATTCGGAACTGTTACAGGGAGATAGTCACTCTTCCTTTGAGACACTGCCCATCCCCTCCTAGGGCCCCAGGTGACATTGCACGGAGTAGACCGGTTGTTGACCGCTTACAGGACTGCAGAGGGATACATCTGAGTGACTTTTACTTGGCGTTAGTCTATGAAGTCTGGTCATTAGCTAATGGAGCAACGAGGGCTACGTGTGATGTGTCTACTCCTGGGCCCTTCAGCATAGTGATCTTCAAGGTGATAGATTTTAGGGTCAGAATTTTAAAGCAGCATTTATTATTTTTGCTCTGATTATAAAAATATGTGGTAGAAATTTGGGGGTCGGGGACAGAAAGGTCAAAGAAAATTAACCGTAAACCCACCATTTGGAGGTAATGCCATTTAGTATTCCGGTTCCAGTCATTCTAGATCCACATAGTATCTGATTTTTAGCA